CTTTAACACCATCAAACAACCACATCTGCCTATCCCAGGTCCTTGGGAAGGACTCGATAGGAGGATAAAAAGTGCCAGATCCAGTCTAAACATCTGGCTGACTGTGTGACCAACAATAATAATAATAGTTCCACCACCCGAGGAAAACAATAGCAAATCTTTTTCGCTCAAACAAAATTGCCTGATCACAAGATCTGCAGCTTGAGTATAAAGATCAATCATTTTCTTCCAATAAAAGTTGCCATCTTTTAATAACTCATACCACATGCTATTAACACTGGACTTTCTTGGTTCACTTCCAGCACACGTCATTTCCCCCCTTTGTTAAATGGTTTCTTTTTAAAAAAAAAATGTTACCAAGTGAGTCATTATCCATTAAATACTTTGCAGCATTAATTCCTGTGCATTTGTATCTGCTCAGCCCTGGGCCCTTTTTTCCATTCTCTCTCAGAAATTCAAAAGTTGGACTGAAGAGTCAGGCTGAGATACCGAAAACAAAACAGACCCAAAACTGAAAGAGAAAAAGTTTGCTCCAAATATGGGCAAGGAAGTAGTGACCAAATTTTGACCATGTACGTAGAAATGGCTCCTATGTTGGACCGAAGCAGCCAGTTTCATTAAAATAAAATTAATGAAAGGTCTGGACGATACCACCATCTAAATTCATGTTTGCTGCTGCTACTTTTTGCTGATTGCGTGGGTATGTGACTACCCAGAGAGCTGTTAGCTGGTTTCATTGCAATCTGGTTTTAGAAATAAATTGTTCTGATGCTTTCCTTTTTCTAGGATTACTATGGAATTACATTCCCTGCTCCAGCAACCTTGACGGGCAGAGAGGGAGCCCTTGCTAACAACCCTTACTCAGGTGAGGAAGTGTTTGAGTATTGCTGTGGGCCTCCCGTGTCCATGCCACAGTCTCTTGCTTAACTGTTGCATTGATATGGTTACAGCAGTGGGGAGTCCATCACTTTTTATATCTTTTCTGTCAGTCCCCTAGAAGAGAAAAAACTCATGGTCATATTGATACGATCCCCAGGAGCCTCGCTCAACTTGAGAAAAACTAGATTCTTGTAGAGGCTGCTACCACAGGAGTGAAGGCATGCCCAGATCACTGACTTAGGAACAGATTGGGATGGTCTTTCATACTCTCTTCTCTCACTCTGGGTGAATGAATGGTGTGTGCCTCCCATTGTAATCAATGTGCCTTGACCAGTGAACTTCTGGAAAACACCAGGCTGTCAGTAGTCTGGAACTAAGCCCTCTTCTGAACTGGTCTTGTTTTACACATCCTTCTGTTGAATTTTCCAAAGTGTAGAGCCTCAGCAGAGCAGGCAGGAATCAACTTGTTGGGCAGCTGAGAAAGACAGGGACATGTTCCTTCGGGCAGTCACAAGTATCACAGGCTGGACTAGCCAGCAGTCAGAAGGCGCTTGATGGCTCAAATGATGAAAGCACTGGAGATGATTAATAATACTTCTAAGCAAGATTGTGGCTCAAAGCCCAATATGCTCAATCCCCATGAAGAGAAATCACTGTAGTCTTAATGTCTGTCCTGACCCACGTTTTTGTTACTTACTTCTTCCTGTCTAGGTGATGTCACAAAATTTGGCCGTGGAGATTCAGCTTCACCCGCACCTGCAACCACGCTTGCACCGGCTCAGCAGAACCAGACGCAAGCACATCATACAGCTCAGCAACCCTTCCTCAACCCCACATTGCCGCCTGGGTACAGCTACACTGGGTTACCATATTACGCTGGTGTGCCCGGGGTTCCCAGTGCTTTTCAGTACGGTCCCACCATGTTTGTAAGTCTCACGTACCAAACTGTAGTTGGGCATTCTTCCATAACTGTTGGGCCTGACTCACGTGGATCCTGTGAGGGATGCCTCTTGGGGGGTTGCTGTGGGAGCATGGAATGGGGAAAGGGACACCTTAATGGCAGGGTGACTTGAGAAAGGGAACTTACTGGAACTGTGTGAAGAATCAGGCCACACAGTTCTCTTTTGGGATAGTCTGTGTGTGGATTATGCTTGAGATTGGACCTCCATCTCCTGAGCATAAGAATCAAGAAGTGCTGCTGTGGGGACACTTAAGTTCAGGGGTTTCATGCTGTCAGCCAATTCTACTGAATCTGGCATTCCAGAGTATAAATGGGGTGGGGTGGGGAGATACTTATGAGTGCATTTTTTTTTCTGGTTGGTTCAAATATGCTAGAAAATGTGAACTGTGCGTGCAAGATGGTCCTGGGAAGCAAGCAGCAGGGCCCCCTTCTTCATAATTAGTCAGGAGTTATGGTTGAGTGTGCTGTAAGTAGAGCTTTTAACCTCCCACTCATCCTGGAGCTGTAACTGGCACTGGGGCAGAAGGTTACATGCCAGAGGCAAAGGGGGGATTCAGTCTACGGAAGCACTCTTCCCCATAAATTTATTTAATCAGTAGACTATCTGTAAGGGTCAAAAGCTGTGTCCTTTTAGACTTTGTATACATGACATGCCTATGTTTATGTTGCCCGTTAATACTAAATTGGTTTGTGAAATACAAGCTTTGTAACGACTCTACATGATGAAGTTTCTGCTGTTGAAGTTTCTGTTGTTTTAATCTCAGGGTTTTTTAAGCTTTTCAAAATTTCTGCAGGTATGATTTCAATTCATGTCATTGTTACTTTGCTAAGGGAACAATGTATGCCCTTATTCTACAATTTCCTACATACCACTGGACTTATCACTAGACCAAGAGTATTGGTCATCCTTAAACATTGTAATTGTTCACCCACAACTTCCTCTGTGGGTTGTACAAGTTGACAAAATATCTGCCTTTCTCTGAAAGTGCAACAGTGGATGCTTAGTTGACCCTCCAAATTAATTGGAAATGAGAAAGACTGAGTGGGCTTTGCAGGATCTTTACAAGCTCTTTAACATTAAATTTTGTGAACATTGAAGATAAGTGTTCCCATGCAGGACACTAAGTATAGTGGAATTAGGAGAGACTTGTGTGCACAGTCTTGGGAGGACAGAGTTGATATGCAGTTTCACTGCCCAGGTGTCCAGATGGCTCTCACCTGTGAACAGATCAAGCACTCACCTGGATGGGAGTCATGCATCTGCTTCTCAGAAGCAACCTCATTAGGTGTAGGAAGATGGGTCAAAGCCTCAGAGAAAAGGACACATCAGCAAGCTCACAGTTTTTCCTGACTCTGAACATGGGCTGCTTAGTGTGTGTGTTTTGTGGTATCTCCACCATTTGGTTCTTAGCTGTGTGTCTGAGCCTCTTGTGAGAAGAAGGGCTCCCAATGACACACACGCGCACACAGTTGCTGCCACTCTTGGTCCTCTACTGCTGACTTGCCTCCCTTTACCTTCATTCAGGTTCCTCCAGCATCGGCCAAGCAGCACAGCGTCACCTTGAACGCTGCTTCCACACCCTTCCAGCAGGCCAGCGGCTACGGCCAGCACAGTTATGGAGCAGGTAATGACTCTGCCAGGGGCCTGTCATGTCTTGGGGCAGCAGGAGGGCCATATTTGGGCAGGGCTGAAGGGACCATTGCAAACCTGGCTCTCTGGGCCTCAGGAGTAGGCAAAGCTCTTCCTCCTGCTCCAGGAATCTGGACTGTGGAAAACACAGCGAAGTGCTATAGACTTCTCACTCTCTGGTTTGCCTCTGTGTTGGTGCTCTTCTTGTAGGGGGAGGAGAGCAGAGGTCTGCCCTCCTGGATTAACTTGGCTGAAGAGGGGCAGCTGCGTATTCAGCTGGATTTGCCTTAGAATGCCTGGGTTCCAGAAGGACGGGGTGAAATGCTTCTGAATAGACAGGCACTAAACAGCCCTGGGGTCTTGTGGGGTAACTCTGTGGGCAGAAATGTTCCCAGTGCAAGGGGGCACTTCAGATTCTGGATTGTGGGCTGCTTCAACTGGAATGTCGTCACTGGGCAAAATAGATGGGAGCCAGGAGGGAAACTCGAAGGAGAGTGAAGGAAACGTTGCTTAGTTAAGGTGTTGGACTATGAGCAAGGAGACTTGGGTTCTAGTCTTCCCTCAGCCATAGAATGACTTTGGCCAGCCCCCTTCTCCCAGCCAAACCTCCCTACAGGGTTGTTGTGGGGAAAATTGGAGGCCAAAGCACTATGTATGTTGCCTTGAGCCCCTGAATGAAAGGCGGCATATAAATCAAATCAACACAGGAGGAGGATGCAAAAGGATTTGCATTGGTATCTCACACACATTCTCTGACTGTCGCACAAAGATTTGGGGTCCATTTGGTGCGACAGGAGCATTTTCTCTCCAACTTCCCCAGCTCTCCTCTCCTAACAGCCTTGCAAGAGGCTCCTCTGTAGCACTTGGTGGGCTCTTGCAGAAGGGGAGGAGTGACTATTCTGCTGTCCCGCTTACAACTGAGCCACTTAGAGGACCACTTCCTTCCAGACAGACCGATCCTTAGATCTTCAGAGGGGCAGCTTTTGCAAGACCCAAGAGGGGAAAAATCTGACATCTGCAGCTGATTCTGCTTTCTCCAGGGCTGAGCCCCTGTTATGGAACAGGCTGCCCTTGGAGCTGAACCAAGCCCCCTTCTTCATTTAGGAGGGGGCTCAAAACTTCTTTGTTTACCTGCACTTTTCAATGGCTTTAACTATTTTAACAGTGTTTTAAGGTTTGTTTTATTGTAGTTCTGTTGTCATATTAAACTGCCCTGCAGGTAATCCTTTTCTCACACACACACATAAGATGTATCTCAAAAGACTCCTGTTTTTGGAACAGTCCATTGGGGTACTTTTTAGATGGTTCTTAGTTTTACGCTTTCCCTGGAAGGACCTCCTTGCCTAGCTTATCTTGAGAAAGATGACCCTGGTTGGAGCCAGGAAATCTCCAAAACCTTTGGCAAGAGGCAGCAGCAGAGCGCTTCTGCGTGGTTGCCAGGAAAGCTAGACCAGTCCAGGTTGTCTCCAGAAGTCCTTAACTTGGCCCTTTGTGCTGGTTCAGCAACAAAAGTAGTTAAAGGGGGACTGCTCATGCCTTGTTCTTTTTTAAGCAAGCTCAGCTCAGAAGGGTGAGTCCTCTTTTCAACTTTTCAGCTCCCAGTTTTG